TAGTTCTACTAGGAAGTCGTATCAGCCCTCGCCCAAGGAGAGGGGTCAGATGTACTACCATCGAACTCATCTCAGAGATTCGCCAAGTTATACTCAGAGCAACGAGAGCTATGGTAGTTCCTCCACCTCCACAACATCTACCCTTTACGATGGACACTTCATGAGTGTTGGTACGATAAGCTGTAGAACACCAGTGCCCCAACACGCACGTTCACCGAGACTCAAGACGACTGTTGTAGAACCCTCCCCAACGAAGCAGACTCTGAGACGCAATAAATCTCAATCGATTGTGTACTATCTATGGGATTCGAGCGGTGAAGAGGATGATAGTTGGGACTATCAGTCCAACTCCACTTCCATGGGTGAAAGTGCTAACTCCTGCGACAACTCAGTGCCCAATATTGTATCGGATAGATCAAAGAAAATCGACAAGCTTCTCCACGAGTTGGGCAAACCTGGAGCTATTCGACTTTACTGAGACCATTGACATGTGGATTATCAGCCATGATGAGAGATTACATTTTTCTATTTTGATCTTTGACTTATTATATGCTTCATATAACCTTTAAGAAAAACTGGCGGAATTTCTCGATGCTTTGGAAGTCTAGGCCATCCAAATAGCTTAAAAAGTTGGAACTACTTTTGTTGCTCATTTTTTAATAATATTGAAGGCGACTTATGTCAAGTAGGCACTAGCTTCACCTAAGTGGAGGATATGATCAGTTAAAAAAGAGATCAAATTATTTAAACAAATCGCTGGAGCGGAATGTCACCTGTCAGTCAACAAATATTTGAATCTGTCAAATTCATTAAAGCTTTCTCCAAAATCTGCTTTTATAAAATAGTTTCTCTCTGGTTAAGGTAGGCTCAGCTAAAGTAGGATAGACGTTCGTCTAAATTTTGCATTAATTTGTGGCAGTTAAGTTTGACTTTTCCAAGTCGTGTCGAAAGCAACTTCATTCATTGTAGACTTTGCATATCCGTGGAGAAAGGATACTAATGTGATTTTATTGAAAAGAATGAATAGTCGTGATAACCGTTTTTACAAATCCGTGCCACTTAACTTTTCTCCATTAAGCAACGACGGTTTTGTCACCACCCTAAGCCATTAATGCTATATGCACCTACTGACTAAATATAAGTAGCGTTTACTAACACTTCAAATGTGCAAGAAATCAAGCATTTTTTTGACGTGCTGCTTAGTAGCTGTAAGCAGGCAAGGCCTGATGTCCTCACTTGTACTTACCAGTAAGAATGTCTGGCAATCAAGCAGTATGTATGGAAAACGAATGGAAATGTTTTGGGATTGGAAAAATTATATTCA